GCAGTAAATGAAGTCAAAACTCTGGCATGTTAAAACAAAATGTATTAATCTGTCTTGTATATTACAACATACAGACTGCTAAAATTATTCAGAAGAATTAATGTGCATATGTACATGGTCTTTAGTCTTATATTGATCAAGCAATGCATCAGTTTGGCAGAATCTGCGCATTTCGGGTGCTTATTTAACTGTGTTGTGAAACTTGGAGAACTGTGAATTTGTCAGCTGAATATTCATGGGGACAAATAGAGTAGAAATGTGTGTATCTGCATTTTGATGATATTTGACTCAATGATATGAATCAATTAGGGGAGACAGGAAAGTGTTACAGTCAAACTACTTAGTGTTTTTTTGTGCTATGTGTGTCTGATATTTTTTACATACTATTCCCATATTTATCTGCTGTATATTAAAGTAGTTAAAAAATTCTGTGTCTAATGTCAGGTACAAAATGTGCTGTTGTTACAACCTACTATACCTACCAGTGGATTGTAATAGCCTAGAGATATAATACTAAAGATTTTTTTTTGATTTTGTGGATTACTTTATAATTTATTGTGGTGTTCAAATTTACTTAAAATAATCATAATTCCATTCCCAATCCCATCACAACCCACTGCTGTTCAAGCCATTCAAGCTGTTTAATTTAGAATAGAAAAAAGAGGAACAGCAAATAAAATACAACAGTATAATACATCAAATGAATAACTATGTATAAACAAACAGTGTTTTTGCTGGTCACTCTCACAATTGTGGCAGACAAAGATTTTAAAAGACAGAACTAGCATCATAATCAGCAGGTTCTCTTGTTTAATTTGATGTATACAGCTATAACCTCCACACAAGCTTATGTTTAATTATTATAGAAATATGATGAGCAGAGAGTAGGGTTAAACAAACTTTCCAATGTGTTGATAAACATTAACTGCACAAAATGGGTCAGTGTAAGCATATCAACATGACTGTAAAAATCAAATACATTTTACTTTATGTCTACATTTTTAAATATGTTTTTATATTTTTTACACAGAAACTTACATGTTTTACTGTCATTTCAGGAGGGTGATGCACATGTCATTCCACTGTGGTGCATGGAAAGAAAGAAAGAAAGAAAGAAAGAAAGAAAGAAAGAAAGAAAGAAAGAAAGAAAGAAAGAAAGAAAGAAAGAAAGAAAGAAAGAAAGAAAGGCGCAGATGACGCACCATGTAAACTAAATTAAAAGGAGTTCTATTACAGCCCAAGAATAATAAGCAAGAACAACAAGCAGAAAAACAAAGAAAAGCCATAAAGGACATTAGGCGCTGAGCTTTATATAACATTTGAGTGAATATTTCATGGGCAGAGAGATAGAGAGAGACTCTAAACTTTCATTAAGCAGGGTATTTCGCTGGGAGGGAATTTCGGCGCCTTTCACTTTTTCTTGGCTTTTATTGCAATAATACAGATATCTCTCTGGCTCCCAGCCCCTCCTCATTCAGCCCATTTCCTTCCCGCCGTCTCTCTCACTCTATGCTTTTTAAAATATAGTAATAAAAACATACTAGATCCTTTTTAAATGCACTATTACTTATCATGGTCTTTTCATATCGTAGCATCACAGGTGTTTTAAAGCCGCTATAAAAGTGCGTCATTTATTATTCAAAAGCAGCGTCGTCTTTTTGCATATTATCCGAGCGCTTTTATACTGCGGGCTGCCAGACTCCCATTTAAAATGTTCGGCAGAATTGATAACGGCAGACACGCGCAATAAAAACAGCGCCGGAGGCAGGGTGGCACGCGCGCCCGCTCATATGCAGATCCCGGTAATTACTCCAACAATCCGCCAACCATTCCTTTATTTGCTCTTTGAGCGAGGGATTTCACGCTTTTAATTCAGTTTTCATCAATCTATTGATTCTCGGCTGCTAAATTGTTTGCACGGGTCAAAGATAAAAAGCAGGTCCGAGCGCCCTGCCAGGTGAAACCGTTTGTGTCCCTCATATTGTGATGAATGGATTTTATACACACCCACAAAAAAAGAAAAAGAAAGAAAATGTTACATTTTTAAAGTTGATTTTAGTCCATGCAAAACATTTAATTGAACTATAGGCCTACAAAAATGGACAATTGCACATTTTTAAAAAAGTGCTTCACCTTACAAAAATATAGTTTTTTATTGTACATAATAATAATAATAATAAAAAGAAGAAGACGACGTCGAAGAAGAAGAATACATAGGAATAATAAAAAAAAATATCGTACTATTTATGAGAGTTTTTATGAGCGTTTTTATGTGACTGAATGGCGATCTGTTTATTTACGGATTCTTGAACACGTATACGGCTATCTATATCTATCTATCTATCTATCTATCTATCTATCTATCTATCTATCTATCTATCTATCTATCTATCTATCTATCTATCTATCTATCTATCTATCTATCTATCTATCTATCTATCTATCTATCTATCTATCTATCTATCTGTCTATCTGTCTGTCTGTCTGTCTGTCTGTCTACAGTTGCTACAAAGTTGCTACATTTTTACATACAAACAACTTGGATGTTTAAGTCATTTCAACTTAAATTATATTAAACTGACTTAGAAAATTTGTTGAATCTTGTATAAACTATAAAAAAAAAGTTGAAAATTGCTTAACTTATTTTGATGAGTTCAGGCAAAGTATAAAAACACATGTTATCATTGATCAAATCATTTTTTACAGTCTATCTATCTATCTATCTATCTATCTATCTATCTATCTATCTATCTATCTATCTATCTATCTATCTATCTATCTATCTATCTATCTATCTATCTATCTATCTATCTACACTGTAAAAATATGTTATCGATTTGTTATCACAACATTTTTTTCTTTTGTCAAATCAACTTAGATAATTTATGTGGTTCAGATAACATAATGTTTTGAGTTTCTGTTGATTAAACCAATCCCCCTTATTGTATTAATTCAATTAATTCAATTAAATTAATTTGAATGAACTTACCAGGTTACTTACTTTTTTAAGTTAAACCAACAGTTTTTTTTACAGTCTATCTATCTATCTATCTATCTATCTATCTATCTATCTATCTATCTATCTATCTATCTATCTATCTATCTATCTATCTATCTATCTATCTATCTATCTATCTATCTATCTATCTATCTATCTATCTATCTAGGCCTATCTATCTATCTATCTATCTATCTATCTATCTATCTATCTATCTATCTATCTATCTATCTATCTATCTATCTAGGCCTATCTATCTATCTATCTATCTATCTATCTATCTATCTATCTATCTATCTATCTATCTATCTATCTATCTATCTATCTATCTATCTATCTATCTATCTATCTATCTATCTATCTATCTATCTGAAATATGTAACATGATGAAAGCAAAGCGAAACAGTGACCATGGGTCAACGACAAGCATCACGGGAATGACGTAAGCGTCTTCACCCGCTGGACAAGGGCCGAGCTCCCGGGGGAACGGGGCTTTTTAGCGTCAGCACTCACTAATGGTCTATTAAAATATCAACTACTTCAAAGTAAACGGATTTTCTCCACACCAGCTCCCACCCCCTGAAGCTAATCAAACGCGGCGGCCAGGCCAAAAGAGCATAATCATTTTTACGTGGCAGATTACAAGGAACCACTTAGATCCGCTGTCAGAAGATCGGGTGTCCCAACACTCTCGATTAAATAAGCGCATGGGAGTGCAGCTCTCCGAGCGCCGACACTGCATGGCTCCTTTAGGCGCACAGCTGCCAAACGCTTTCCGGATGCAACAGCTAGCTAAAGAGCATCTCAAAAGATATTAACATGTGCTGATTATAATGAACTCAATTTACTATAACATTTCAGAAAATATTTTACAGAAACAAAATAATTGACGTGGATTAAAGAACACTTTAAAAAGTCTGCATTAACAAAAGTGAATTTGTTTTTCACTTGTGAGATGATGTGCAATGTTATGTTACCGTTATTGTCAAATGATAGGCTACTCTGTATCTCGGACATAAACCATTGCTAAATTAAATCGTCAAAGACGTTTTTCTTTGGTGAGTCTCAGGCTGTTTATTTTTTGTAACATTTATGACTAACATATAAGCGCCGCGCTCTCAATAAACACGCACCAAAAGATGTGCAAGACCATTTAATTAACATGATTAATAAAATAAATCAGAATTTTAATAATAGGCCTATTATAACAGCGACGAAGTGAACAGCAAAAATGAAAACTCTTCATATTTTTACTTATTGCATAGTCCTACTTTTAATTATTTATCTTATCTTATTTATTTAGCCTATATATATTATCATTACTATATTTTCCTATATCTTGATATCATTTTATATGAACAATACACGACCTATTCCCACATTCCAACTGCCCCATGGACATAATAAATAAAGAGGATATTTAATTTGTTTCTCTTCATCCAATAAAGCCGAGAACGAGTCTAAAGTTGATTGACATATTAGAAAAAAAGGTTGAGGGCAGCTTTAAGGTCAAAAGCACTCATCTGATTGCTGGAGGCGATATAAAAATTTCGATTATTTTTTATTTAAAAGCGTGAATGATAATAAGCGTCCCTTGTTTTAGCTCGCCGTTTTTAAGTTTCTCATTAGAACAGATGGTTAAAAAAACTCATCAAATTATGCTTTCCTCATCTCATCTGATTAAATTGCATTATACACAGACAGGGCCATACATGGCCAATAATACAGTTGATGAACACTTTATTTTCCACATGAGGCCACGGTAGAATCTCTATTAAAACTCAAATATTTAAAGAGCTAATGATGACATGCTGATGTCAGCATGTCCATAATAAAGAGATACTTGACCAATACAAAAATTGAGAAGTAAATGATCTGCATTTTGAAGAATGATGTCACCATATTTTGTGACTTGTAACAAAATGAAAGCCAATAAAGAGAGGGAGATTGAGCGCTGTCCAATCAGTGAAGAGAAGAGCTCAAAGAGCCTCGTGCAGGGATCCAGTGGAGAGAGAGTGCCAGAAATCTGCCAAGTCCTCGTGCCAAAAACTTTTCACCCACAGACGAATGCGTCCAAGCCATCTTAAGTCAAGAATTGAATCTCGAGGAGTAATACATCAAAAAGTAGATATTACTAGGGATTCCCTTACTCATAGAGGCAGAGTTTTCCAATAGTGCAATTCCAGGGCAGTCAGAAATTGTCTGTGGAATAAACCCACTGGAAAGGTTCGGGTGGTGAGGATGGACCGAGCCTCAAGCTCCAGCCCAAGTGGCACTAGTCAAACATCACAACCTACCCAACATGAACCCATCAGCTTCGGCATTGACCAGATTCTCAGCGGCACCGATCAAGAGTCACAGCAGAACTCGAGCAGGAATAGTTCCGAGAGTAGCAGCACCGCGAGCGGAGGCGGTTACCATCTCGGCAGCCCAACGGGAGCGAGCGCAACGCCGTACACGACACTAACCGGCACGTTTCACGGTATCGCTTCACCATATGAGGAATCCAGTCCATACGGAGTGAACTTGACCCTTGCACCCGGAGGAGTGATTAGGGTCCCGGCTCACAGGCCCCTGGCCGCGGCCGTGCCTCCACCCATGGCCAGCGCGGTGCCCGGACTTGGGAGTCTCAGTTTTCCCTGGATGGACAGCAGTCAACGCTTCGCAAAAGACAGATTTGCAGGTAAATAAATACTCCCATTCTTTCGATCGGTTCCTTTCGTGTTTCTAACAAAAAGCTCCTCGTGTGTTTGAAATGTCCGAATCAGGAAATTGTAAATTGACTGAGAAAACAAAAAATCACTCAAGTTCACCATTTGCGCCTAACAATAAGACAAACATAACCGTAAAAAGCCCAAGCGCTAAACGAATTATGTTTTAACATAGGCTATTTGTGATGTATTTTGAAATGGCGTTTGTAGGCTAGATGTTGTTTGACAGAAGAAACGTTGAGCAGACACACAACTTATGAAATGTAAAACCATAATTTCTGCTTTTAGTAGCCTAAACAAACTAGGCTACTCTCTGGTGTGTGTGTGTGTGTGTGTTTCTTGTTTTAAATGTATTTTTATTTATTTATTTAAATTTCATTTATAGGACGGCATCATTAAACGTGAATAACTAAAATAGAAAAGCATTTTTTTATGTTCCTTATTGATGATAATAACAGCTTATTAGTAGCCTAATAATAACATTGAGCCTATTATTAGGCCTATATGCTTCAGCTATTAATAAAGTACATTTGAACAATTAGGTAATATATAGGCTATTTTTAATATATATTCATATTAACAAACTACGGATTCATCAAGTAGTTTATAATGTTTAAATACTGACGTATTAGGCTATAGTTATTGCAATAGTTCCCCAAAATACAATAACTGTACAAAAATCTTGTTATTTTAGCTGTGGAAACTGTGATGCAGTTGCATGTTTGCTTGTGAAAGGATCATAAGGATGAATTGATGAAGGTTTCAATACAATAAATATTAGACAGTCTGTCTGGGAATCTTGATCCTGGGTTTTCCAGATGAATGGATGTTGCTGAAGAGCTCGTTTTAATTAGACCTCGAAGAGCGTGAAACACCTGAACCGTTTATGAGTGAAATTAAAAGAAAAAGGGCAAAACAAAGTCAACACTTCAACACGTCAGTGTCTGTTTACTTTATCGGCATAAAGATGTATTATTATTTTTAAAATCTACGTTGTAGGCTATTAATTTAATCTTCAAGCGCGGACAAATTTTATAATCTGAATAATTCATCTAATTGTTAAAACCATAAACATTTTTTATAAGGCGTCTGAAAAAGGCTATAGCCTGTTTTATTTGAATACACCGTTTGATTAGGTGAAAATATGTGAATATAAAGACTATTTTTTCAAACATGTAGGCTATTGAACAAACGTGCAACATAAATACGGAAGTAAATGAGTTATTGTTATATTTAGTTAACCGCTGTTTTGCATATGAATGTAAACTCTTACAGTTCAGAGCTGTCACATAGATCATCAGCTTTTTTTATTCTGGGGCAAATGGTGAACGCTGTTCCATTAGAAAGACATATCAATATTTTACCAGCTCTAATTATTGCCACTATAACTGCGGTAACAGGCGCTATCTGCTGCTCTGTGTTTTTTAGGTAATAAATAAATTAACAATACGGGAAATTACTGTTATTATATGAGAACAGCTGGTGTTTGTATTTGATGCAACATTAATAGGATATATTTTGTGTGATTTTATTGTACAGCTTATATGTAACCTGAGTAACAGGCCTCTCAACAAATCCTAAGAGCATCAGCAATCCATCTATTTATGAGTTTTTTTTTAGTATTTATCAATCAATAACACAATGTCTGATTTTACATCTAAAAGGTATAGTGCATGATGAAGGTAATTTAAAATGATGATGAACGCAGTTTTCCTTTGACTCAGCAAGAGTTAGAAACTTGGGCTGATTAATGCAGTCTGCTGTGCAAAAAGCTGTTTACTTCTTAACAGTCCTTCATAAAAATAAAAATAAAAGATAAAAAGTGCATACATTCTTCATCTAATAGATTTAAAATTTCCTGTAATGCAACCCATTTTTGTGGGGACTTGGACAGTCTGTCTTTACATTCAAACGTATTTAATATAGGCCTATATATACTCTGAAAACAGTGTAGATACACAAAATAGGTATCTTAAAAATATACTTTTTATAGCATTTTTAAAAGGCATCTTGAAACTTGAAAAGGCAGATATAGCAATCATGCTTTTTTTTGTCTACTAAGAAAAATGATTGAGTGTGATAGAAAGAGGTCAGCAAGCTGTGTGACAGATTTTCCTCATCTCTCACTCCTTCTTCAAACCACAGCAGCTCTGACGCCCTTTACTGTGGCTCGGCGTATCGGTCACCCGTACCAGAACCGCACACCACCTAAGAGAAAGAAGCCCCGCACATCTTTCTCCCGAGTGCAGATCTGTGAGCTGGAGAAGCGCTTCCACAGACAGAAATACCTGGCCAGTGCTGAACGAGCAGCCTTGGCCAAAACTCTGAAGATGACAGACGCCCAGGTCAAAACCTGGTTTCAAAACCGCAGGACCAAGTGGAGGTGAGACAGCGAGAGAAAGTGAGATATATACTAATATAAGATAAATGACGTAAAACTTAGTGTGTGATCAGAGGAACAAAGGCAAGAATAATATTTCCCATTACATAGCTTATATTTGTTTCTAAACATTAGTCTTGAGTCAGGACATTGATAATGTCCAATAGCACATACTGTGAGTGAATAGGTGTCCTGATTTTTTAAATAACATGTTTTTAGCCAGAGTCGGAGCCAGAGATGAAATTTCAAATAAGGACATAAAACCACTGAATGGACTGAAATGTATATTTTATATAAATTATTGCCCTAAATGTAACAAACTAAAGACAGGCTAAAATCAAGACCTTTTTGAACAATAGAAGTAATATAGTATTTACAATATAGGATCTATCTATCTATCTATCTATCTATCTATCTATCTATCTATCTATCTATCTATCTATCTATCTATCTATCTATCTATCTATCTATCTATCTATCTATCTATCTATCCTATCTATCTATCTATCTATCTATCTATCTATCTATCTATCTATCTATCTATCTATCTATCTATCTATCTATCTATCTATCTATCTATCTATCTATCTATCTATCTATCTGTCTGTCTATCTGTCTATCTGTCTGTCTGTCTGTCTACATACCAACCAAATTAGTGTCTGTAATAACCTGAAATAATTTTTTTTTTTACATTTGACCTACTAACGGCCGTAACATCTGTAAGAATTAATGGGAAAATAATGGGGGTTGTCAGGAAGATATATGAATTATTAATTAAGGCAAATACACTAACGACATGCCACACTTTGGAGAAGAGGAGGGGCCGTTTGAATATTTAATATTTAAATAAACTCTACATTCACCTTTTGGTTCGGTCGATTAATCAATTACACTCCCTCGAAACCTTCAGCTGCGTGCTTCTCAAAATTGCGACAAAATTAGACCAATTCTATCCAAATTCTATTTCTGTCGGTAAAATATTCACACAGTTAGTGGTTTGTTTCTTCAAAGACGACTCGTAGTCTTAAATGCTTAATCTAGCTGTTTTTGATTCTTTTAACCCTGTAATTCAGGAAACTGATTAGATGCAGTAAATGAGCAAGTTTGTGGCAACTTCCACTCCTCTAATGTTCTCTATATCTTTTCCCTCTATATCACCTGTCAGACGGCAGACAGCGGAGGAGAGGGAGGCAGAGCGTCAGCAGGCCAACCGGCTGATGATTCAACTCCAGCACGATGCCTTCCAGAAGTCTTTGACTGATTCAGTTCCATCAGACCCACTCTGCATCCACAACTCCTCACTGTTCGCCCTGCAGAACCTCCAGCCTTGGGCGAGCGAGGAGAGTGGCAAGCTTGGAGGAGTGACCGCGCTCGTATGAGCGCCAGAACTCAACAAGGAAATGACATTCTCATTCTTTTTTTGATGGACTAGGATGTTGGTTGACCTTATCTCCGTCCCGAAAGACTATTTCATTACGCAAAAAAAGCGAGGAACTAATTACGGCCGTCCAACAGCGAGCAAACCCATATAAATAAAAAGGTTCTGCGTTGAACGAGCTTCTGCAGAATAAATGATGGCCGTTTTCTGTGGTGTGTCTGTGCATACAGAGACTTGTATCCCCATTAGGGTCAGTTTCATTGACAAAGTGACCTTGTAGAAAGCAACAGGCCATCTCAGCTGACCCTTTTACAGATCCACTGATCTTCTCCTCCATCCTTTCATTTGCCCTTCTGCCCCCTGTGTAATTCCTCCACCACTCAGAACTGTAGAATACAGGATTAATGCAGAAGAGGGAAGTAATGATGATTTAATTATTTATAATGTGAGTTGCACGACCTAAAATGCCCCCAATCTGGCCATTTGTGGAAGTAAAAGGACACAAACACGCACAAATAGACACACTCTTCAATCATCCATCTAATTTACTTTGTTTTAGGCTGGGTAGTATATAAATATTCATCTTTTTAAGGGTTTAAAGGAACCAGCTCCTTTTTTATTTATCTTATTTTAATGAAACCACATCGCGACCGTATGAGGAATCGCATGAAACGTCCAGAAGAGAGGCATATGACGTCATACGGGGCGGTTGCAATATACTTTAACGGTTTGATTTATTCAGCAGTGACTTCGATGGCTGAATGTTGTGTGTCAGAGAGAAAGAACAATTCAGATTCAGAAACAAGGGTTTGTTAGACGCCCCTATATGGTGTAGGTGTGCTGTTGCATTCCAAACTCTTTATTATACTTTGTATTTGATAAATATGTAAATAGCAAACAAAAAAGTAATAAACATTCTGTTTTGGCATTAACACAAAACGTGTGCTTTGCTTAATTTGCTATTCCCCTAATGTTTTCGGAAGAGGCATATCCCAAATCCCTAAGCAGCACTCTTCTCTGGAGTAATGTGTTGCTTTCAGAGGTCCTACCAGCGTTCTACACAACTTGATCGACAAATAAACACCGCGTCCTGGTAGTTGGCTACAGTCGATTATGCCTGCCACAGCAAAGAAGCACTTATGTCCTCAAGCAGATAAATGCGGGATCCTGTGGGACCATAAAAATGCCTTTATGCCCTCTGCAACCAACTCCCTCCTCCCAAAGTGCTGACTCTCAGGAACTGACCTGTTTTAAAGGCCTGGGTGGGGGGTAAATGGAGGGGTGTCCATTATAAAGTGATTTAACAGACTCCTTACATTATGATGCTGTCGAAGCCTCGGCAGGGCGAACCTGTGGAGTTTCGCCACAGCTCTTTGACAGATGGTTAGCAGTGACCTGTGTCAGGGCCTATTTAACTGGTGATGTGTACAGTTGAGTCGGGGTCATCTGAGAAAGCCTTCAGTGATATAGACTCAATGCTCAGGATAACTTACACAGGATGTATTCCTGGCTCCTTTCCACATTTACAGCAGTGACATCACTTCTACAGTTGCTCAACTAGCCTACAAATTGATTTGTAAAGAGTGGTGTTTTACTGCCCTCTGCTGGCTATCATGTGCAAATGCTCTTATGTCAGTCTACACTTCCAATGAGAATTTAAGATTTAATATAGTATACTAAACGTATAATAAAAATATCAAAGCTATATTAACAGAATGAAATACATTAAAATAATCGAACTTGATTAAACTTCTACAAAGGTGTAGAACAACATAAGTAGGCCTATGCAAGAATTCCTTGAAACATTTGATAATGTCTTGTCTGCCAAAATGGCAAACCACAGTGGCACAAATGAACAACATGACGTGTTATTAAACTTTCATTAAAGAGAACGTTTGACTTTGTGCATGTATTATTTATTTTTTAAACACGGAGTAACGAAAACCTCACATTTTACGCGTGAAAACAATAGCCTACCATAACCATGCCATTGAAGCGAAGTGACGCCCTCGGTTTTTCTCAACAGTTTTTAACTTTACAATTGATGTTGAAGTTAAGATTTTAAGAACAAAGTATTGTAAATGTACAATTTCACCAAAAGCAACGAAAGTCCACTTACAAAGTCTTAATGGAGTCCTTTCAGGGAATTTTTAAGATGTCGATTTGGTCATGATGTTAACAATTGCTCCTTTTGTGTTGATAAAAAAAATCTCTTCTATTACTGTAAATTTGCCAGTGCCTTTTGGGAGGATTTGCATTACTGGTTATTTCCTACATTTGAAGATTGACCTGTATATTAACAAAGGGAAATATAATATTTGGTATGTTTATGAAAGACGAATCACATGAGCAATTAAATATTATTCTTGGGAAATAATTTTTTACATGAATAGTTTTTTTTTGAAAACACTTCCAAACGAATAGATATACATGTACAAGGAACTGTCATTCTTAAAATGAATTGGAAAATTTTCCTTAAATTTTTGTAATTTGCCATTTATTTGGCCATTTAAATGGCTCATGACATTTATTTGATAGCTTTTTTTTCTTTCATTTGTTTTATTTTATGATGCTGTTGTCTAAGATTTTTTTCTTATTTTGTACCAGTCCATTATGGTTTTCAAGCTTACATTGTTCAAAAGTAGGCTACATAAAGAAATTAAATATAAATATATATATATATAAAACACCGTTTCAATAGGGTTAAAGGGATAGTTCACTTTGAAATTAATTTGTGATATGTTTTAGCTTACCTCAAGGGCAATCCAAGATGTAGGTGTTTCTGTTTCCGCAGTAGTTTCAATTTTGATATTTTTAGGTCAAACCGTTCTTGTCTGTCTGTCAGTCATAATGCAGGTCTATGGTCATGCACAGATAAGTCCAAATTAAACATGATTTAATGACTCGTAAATGTACACATTGATGGCCGAAGACACGAAACGAGCGGTTTGTGTGAGAAAACGAACAGTATTTATATCGTTTTTACCTCTTGTAACGCACAGACTGAAGCGCCCTCGCCCTCAGATCACTTGGATGTGGCTGTGCATTACAAGAGGTAAAAACGATATATATACTGTTCGTTTTCTCACACAAACCGCTCGTTTCGTGTCTTCGGCCATCAATGTGTACATTTACAGCGGAAACAAAGACACCTACATCTTGGATGCCCTCGAGGTAAGCTAAAACATATCAAATTTATTTCAAAGTGAACTATCCCTTTAACTGATAAGTAAAAAAAAAAAAAAAAACATCTTCCCCTAAAATCTACATATATTTTTGTTTCAGCACAGTGAATTAAGACAACACTAATACAGATATCCCACCCTGCTAAAACTCATTTCTGGGAGATGGCATAACAAAAAAATATATATTATAGCTGCTGTTGTATTTGTTCGCAGAACTGCCAAACAGGTTTGTTCATCCAATAGTTTTCGTCCAAAACACTGCACAGTAACTGTTTAAACCTGTTAAATATAAACTTTATTTGCATTTGAACAGATTCAAGGAAGTCAAAAAAGGTGAACAAGAGAACCACACCTGAACTGCAGTCATAGATTGAGTACTGATTCTGTTAAGATTTAGCTGCACAGACTGTGACATTACCTAAAATACACATTGTTGACATTGATTTCTTAATTCTCAATCCCAAACATAATACATTCCACCTTCTAGCATGTTACAGGATGTTGACAATTACAAAAAAAAACATGACCTGCAGATAAACTAGAATTCTGAAACCCACTCATGCATTGCAAACTAGGTCAAGCGTTTCAAGATTTCAATAAATCAACTTCAGTCGCATCTCTAAACAGAATGCCATGCACATTTACATGTCATTTTAAAGAAATCATGGACGGGTACAGTCAACAATTCTCCATATAAATTAGAGGGTTGAATTCTTCTGCTCAGAATCACATTTGAGCAACAAGGCTGCCAAATGAAGGCTACACTCTATGGACATGACAACACCACAGGGGTGAGGAGAGGGCAGATTGCAGAGATGAAAGAGGTCATGTTCTGAGTAAAGTCTTTTCAAGGAATGGCACGGATTTGCATAAAACTGAAAAGTACGGTGGGGGGGGGGGATAAAAAAACTTAAAATTGCAGGTAACAAAGTTAAATCATGAAAAAAAAAAAACCCTTAAAATAAAGTTTTTCAGTTCTTTTCCTTGACGTTCTGTCTCCACTTCCAGAGCTCCTCAATGACCTTAGAAAAAAACAGAAGAACAGTTAAGACCTTCATTCATGACGGTCTCCAATTAATTGTGTCACTGTGCGATACACTATTGTCTACGATAATTTTGTGATAGTTGTAACTATGGTTAGGAATCGAAAATCTATTCCAATTCTGGACCTCAAGGTCAGGAATCAGGTAGTTATAAAATTGCGATTCCTCTTATTGATTCTTTTGCGAGCATTTCAATATGACTTGGAACTAGGGATGCTCCGATTGATCGGACGCCGATCATGATCGGCCGATATTGGCTAAAAATAGATTGATCGGCGAACCCCAAAAGCCGATCACGTGACGTAAATTACTTGCGCGACTTTTTCCCACCTGCATGCGCGGCGCACGGGCACACAACAGCAGAGCGGAGCTTGGCAGTGGCAACATGAGTTTTCCTTCACCGGAACGAATAGGGAGTCTCCCAACGGATTGAAGCGCGCGTCCGAGTGAAGACCGTGCACCCCGCGAGCCACAAAAAAACACAGTATCCGCGCCACTGACCGCTGCGGCATCGAGCACTTTGATCATTCATTCACAAAAAAAAAAAAAAAAAAAAAAAAAATTCAGCTCTAGATCGCCTCTTATTTAACAAATGAACAAAAAGAATGCTCTGCTAGTTACCTGGAGATGTTTTATTTATTTGTATTGGTACATCCGTGCCGCGAGACGTTTCAAAAGTGGTGGTGTTTTTATTTATTTTTATTATCTGATGTAGTTGGTTCCTCAACTACATCAGATTCAGTTTATTTTATTTAATGCCATGTCAGCATTGAAAGCTATTTTCATGGCAAAAATTCTATTATAAAAATACAAATATCATAAATAAAACAAAACAAATATAAACAACAAGTCATATTATACAATATATATTTTTAAATTAACATATGATAAAAAAAATCCAAAACCTTTTCAGGCATAATCTCATTAAATATGTCCTTAAATGAAGTATCTTCATAAAAGAGCATTCTGCTCAACTACATCAGATGTTCATAATAATAACAGAAAAAAACTTGCCATAGTTTTGTCCTTTTGTCAGTAGCCAGTTTTGGTGTAACAAGTTGTACATTTTGTTGCCAATTAGTACATGTAGTCGGTGTATTAAGAGGCTACAATTTCCAAGTATGCCTAAGTGTAACTTGATCCCCTCCCATTAAGCTGATCTGATGTGTGTTGGTCTGCCTGACCCCTCTTTGTTTGGAATAATTTTATGTTACTCTGTCTTATTTGGGAAAGATGGCCTACAGTAGCCTTGAGACATCTCATTTTCTAAATGCAATTAAATAAACACTTGGTGGTTCTTCAAGAACTTGACTGTAGCCTATTCCCCCCCAAATAAAGTTAATTCATAGTTAGTTTCATTTCTACAAATGGTGCAAATTCGGCTAGATTATAGAAAAAAGATTCCCATTCCCCAGCCGGTGATCGGTAATCGGCCCCAAAAACGCTGATCGGAGCATCTCTACTTGAAACAATTCAAGAGCGAGACGTCTCACGCACTGTTTTCTGTGCTGTGCACACAAGTGATTCTCGACGTCTCTGCAAGTATTCTCTCGTTTATGTCATAAGTGAACAGGTGAGAAAGAGACCGGTTGTTAGTCAGTTTTTTTTGTTCGGTGCAGTCGGTCTTAAAGTGACAGCAAAAAAGTGATCCGATCCGTGGCTCAAAAACCGTAAATGATCCGAATCGTGAATTTTGTGATCCGTTCCACCACTAGTGTTTACTTGTCTTTAATAATCCTTGAAATTATATTATATATAAATTAGGCTAGTTGTTTTTCTATGGTATTTCTAAACCACAGGCAAACTTTCCTTGTATACAAGTGTTCTTTAGCCTGTTGATTTTTGTTCATGATATTCAGCTACAATTAAATTCAGACTAAATGTGAATGATATCTAAGTTTTTTTTCTTACCTTATTGGAATCGGAACCGTTACAAAAGAAATGATATCCAACCCTAGTTGTAACTGTGCTTTTCACACCACCTGCCACCTACTGCCGATTTAAAATTCCACATTTAAAGTGTCTGTCTTTTAAAAACATTTCTAATATCAATATTTGGTTTACTTTAAAGCATTAGAATAGTTATGCATTTGTAGCCGGATCTGGCCCGTATCCACCTCAGACGAAGGATCTGCACCTAGACATGACCACAACGCAGCCCTGAAGTGTCAGCAGAGACTGTCAACTAGACTATCCCCCGCAAAGGCCTCGGCTCAGACATAGTTTTGTTTTTTTCACAGCAAAGGTTTTCCACCATACAGATGAAAACGCTGTATTCTGCATGCTAGACAAGTAATTGGCCATGTCATTTTTTAAAGAAATACTATGCGCCTGCATGCATTCAAACTAGGGATGTCAACGATTAATCGATGATCGATTAATTGTCGATAACACGTTTAATCGATAAACCTTATCGATCATCGATTAAGCAGGTTCATGCGCGTGCGTGCTGCTCAACCGCGAAACATGTAAGCGAGCGCGCCGGAGTTATGTTTGGGACTATTTTACACCATCATGACTATAAGTTTGCGTGTGCATTCGCTGCCTTTCGTGCAAATGTAAGTTGTAATAGTTTATTTTGTGTGTGCCTATCTATATCTGATTTATCTCATATTGGATGCATTTGGTTAAGAATTGACGCAGCATGATCTTTAGCGCGCGCAGCTCAAATGGCAATGCACGACTACGACTATTCGGACTGTCATATTATATAACATTATAAAGAGAACAATATTGTAATAAAACATTGTGAATTATTTGGGTTTAGTTGCCATGTCGCGTTGTTCCAGGAAGAGCGCGTCCAAACATGAGTCATTCTGAATGGCACGTAACTTAGTTCAAGTTCACTTGTGCATTCACGTCATTTTGTGCAGATATTATTTGTAATATTATGTTTATTTTGTATATATCTGATTAATCTCATAGGATGCGTTTCTTTGAGTTAAATAACGTGCTAGCAAAGTGCTCAACGGTTAAGTTATTTATTCAGCGCGCCGCTCAAGCAGAATGCACGACTAATAACGAGGATTAATTTGGGACTGTCATATTACATAACATGAGAACACTATTTTATTAAATCGGTGTGAATTCATTGGGTTTAGTTGCCGTTTTAAGTGCGTTGTTCCAGGAAGAGCACGCGTCCACAAGTCACACATTCTGACAAGCGCATCTGAGGCGGCGTTGGTGACACGTTGTATTAGTCGTTATATTTGATTATTAAATATTTAATTTAATTCAGGGCCTGAATTTCGTTTTGGAAAATGGGGGGGAAATCCCCCCTTAGATGATTCTCATGGGGGGGATTTTTTTTTTTTTGAGGGGGAGAAGGGCGGGGGGGCATTTTTTCCAAACAAAAATTACATTTATCTTGCCTAAATGTTTGCGCTCATTGCATTTTTACAATGGGGTAATATTGTTGTTAAGAGTTTACACAACACAAGGAAGCTTGATTTAAATTGTTTAATTAAATTGAAAAAAGTAGCACAAATAAATACAATAGAATAAAGATACAAATAAAGACAAATAAAGAGAAATGTTTTTCAATGGGTCTAACTTCATATAGGCCTACAGAAACTGAATAAAGTAATCAAATGGAAAATAACACTGGGTAGTATTTTAGTCCTGAATAAATTAAATATATATAGGCTATTAATCCTGATTCCTTTAACTTAAAGCTATATTTTGTTGTTTTGACAACTAAATTAATGAGCTAGTGCACGGATCCTGTGTTCATTATACTGGCATGCGTTTTATGCTTATTAAAAGACAAAACCGACTATGTTTAGAGTATACTCACGAAGACCGAAATTGACACAATTTTGCGTGTTAAAGCAATATAATCCGCGAAAAATATCTTTTGTTACTGGCCAGCTGTTTTTGAGGCGGATTCTCTATGAATGTGCGCATAGAAAATCATCTCAGAGAGCGCGAGCACTGATTAGTTTAAAATCGCTTGAATGTTTAAACTTGCAAGACTTAAAAAGACGTGCAAATGGTAAACTTCAGTCACGATGCACTGCTGGCCCGATTGTGCAAGTGAATATTCCGTCATGTCCCGACTCCTAAACGCGAGTGTGTATTATCGCCGCAGCGCTTGATGCTTGCCTTGCACAACACATTTTGAGAGAAGAGAGATAGAAGACGCGGCACGCTGAACACTCACGCTGTTTGTGAAATTGCGCCTGGCAGATAGTTGTTAAAAGAATTATTTGATTTTATAATCTGTGTGGATTACGATTGCGGGAATTTCCTGCATTATAAATGGGAGACCTGTGGGAATTATTAGAATTATGCGCAATACCCGCAATCCCGCGCCGAAATTCGAGCCCTGAAATTTAATTATCAATCACATCGAAACATTTTACAATCCTACTAGCCCTTTATTTAGATTAAAACCATTCTCATTAATTTGGTGAGGAACATAGCGGTTTGAGCAGCATTTGCAGACGCTGTCATGCTGTTGGCCATATGCACTGCAGCAGACGCATATTGCAGTATTAAGGCTAACGATTAATCGATTAATTGATCGTTAATTTAAACGACGATCGATCATGGGAATTTGTGAAAATTGACATCCCTAATTCAAGCGCACTTACCTATGGACTAAACACGTACTGCGTATGCCGTCACAGTTTTCACGTTTTGAAGTTTACACAGAGATAACCATATCATTTTTCAAAAACCTACTTCAAAGTTTGCGTACTCAGGCCACCAAAACGCTGTTGTGGCAAATGCACGGCCAGAACACATTAAAAGTTTCAAGTTCAAAATGGTGTTGTGTAAGCGGCCCCTACGTTAATAACTAATGATTTTTACAACTAAAATTAATCAAAAACTCACTTAAGCAAGACACCGACTTTCTTCTAGAGCTTCTGTACAGCCAAAAACAATCTTTTTTGCATTATTTTCCTGTTATCACTGTAAAACTGCTTTGAAACAATCTGTATTGTAAATGAAGGTGACTTGACACTGCAGGTTAAATGCACTCGACACCTCTGAGCTGCATTAAACAGTAAATGCCACTTCGTGATTCCTCTGCATTGCAAAGATGAATTTTGTTGATACTGAATTAATTTGATTGGTAACAGCCCTATTGTCTCCTATAGAGATGCACCGATTACAATTTTCAAGGCCGATTCCGATTTTCATTGAGTTTGACCTGCCGATACCGATTTTAGCCGATTCCGATTTTATTGTTTTCTAACCAGTTTTTTATTTTCAATAACACAAATATTTATTTTCTATATATATATATATATATATTTTTTTTTTATAAAACACCATATACTTTTACCCAAACTGAATAATAAAAACAAGTTTAAATGGGTAAATTTTCTATAAAGACTCTTCATTTTAATTTCTGACATAGCCTACTCCAGTTCTTGTTAAAACACACTAGACATGCAAATTCTGTGCATTTTGGGCACTTTTTGTGAGAAATCATTTATTTTGACCATCAAAAGTGTGCTTTAACTTTAATTGAGCGTGAGCTGCGCAGCAAAAATAGACTCTGCGCCGAAACCCGCGCTTCACTGCTGCTCACGTGACACTCCTGCTCGACGCTCACGCGCTGCTCCTGCTCCCGGTGTGAATGCACTCGTTGATTAACATGCATGGCGAAAAAAATGTGCGCCGCTCACGCTTGCGGTGTGAAACGGCCGTAATTCACAAGGTTTCCTACATGTGCGTTCCGTGTGCACGTGTGATGTTGCGTGATGTTAATCATGCGCCGCCTGAGTGCATTTTGACCGGCATAAAATCGCCATATGTCAGACTGACCGGCCGGTCATGGCCGATCACGTGAAAATCGGCCAATTCCGCTCACCAGCCAATCAATCGGTGCATCTCTAGTCTCTTATTATTGTAACTGAATTTATTGATTAAATGTAAGAATTTGACACAAAAGATGCATTTATTTAATAATAAAACAAAAAAAAAAGCTTTTATAAAAGGTAAAAATGCCCATAAAAGGTAAAAATCTATTTAAAAATGGCTATTTATCCGTGTAAAATACCAGAACTGGCACATTCCACAGATAAGAATCCATGAACCGCATTATTATACCCCTTTTTAAGGCTGCAACATGTATTAAAACCATTTAAAAACAAATATCTGAAAAACTTGGTGGTGGCCAACATTTGAATTTCAATTGAATTGAACAATAACGATAATTAAAAAAAAAATCTTTGATAATCTTATGTTTTTGACACAAAGTCAAAGAAAAACAGCAATACACATACCTTTGCATCAGTGGCTTTGAAGCAGTTCTTCACAAAGTTCTCAAACTTTGGCTGTAGTTTTGGTAGTGATACACCCTACAAAAAAAAATATATATATATATATAAAAAAGGAAATTACCTTGTTGAAAGTGACATCTTCAGGTATGATTATTTTGTCAAGAATACCATGCATCAACTACACCGTATTCCATTGAGGTGCGGAATGTTTTTTTTTACCACATACACCATCTCATTGTGACTACTTATGCAGAGAGGACGTCAGGGAAAACGCACCTTTTCTACACTTGCCATCATCTTGGCCTTGATCTCTGGGACAGTGAAAACCCGTGGCGTCTGTGGCGTTTTGGGCGACTGTACTTTCTTGTCACCCTTGTTGTTCTTTTCTGGAGTCTTGAGCTGTGAGAGCATAATATCAAATCAATGAGAAAAGAAACGTCAGCAAATGCTGCAACTCAAGACTTGACAATTTTCTTTAAGGAGAAAGAGAGATGCTAACCTGCTTGGCAGGTGTATTGGGCTTGGGTCCTTTCCCATTCTGTGCAGGGGTCTGTGCTTTGGATGGGGTCTTCTTTACCTGACAGAACAATGGGAAAATATGAAATAAGCATTTCTGATCACACTTTTACACATTCTACAAGATTTAAGGGGTCTGGGTAACTCGTCTGACCTTTACAGGCGACTCTTCAAAGCTTTCTTCCTCTTCATCGTCATCCTCATCATCTTCATCCCTGGAAGGGAAGGTAAAATGTTACTATTTTATTTTGAAAAGCTGGCGTTTCTAAAACACTGAAGACAACACTCACTCATCATCGTCGTCATCATCTTCATCCTCTTCCTCCAACTTAATTTTTTTCTATGAAAGATAGTTAAATTAGCCACAAAATCAAATCATCATAATAAATCCTATAGATTAATTTGAGAGCTTACAGAAAGCTTCGGAGTCAATGACGCTGGCCTCTTTTTGCCTGTTGTCAATGTCTCTTCTTCTTCCTCCTCCTCCTCCTCCTCCTCTTCGTCAAAGGACTGGTCTCCTCCCATGACTGACAGAAGGAAGATTCCAATAAGAAATTTACTGAGGCTTCCCGAAGCAGTTTTTTATGCGTTTATCTGAGACAACAGTTAATAATCATAGACCAAGTATTATCAAGTACTCACTGACGAGATGCTGTCCACTAATGTGAACTGGACCGGAACCAGAGCGTAGACGGAACACAACAGGTGGAGTGATCTCAAACCCAACTAGAGACACCTGAGATTCAAACACATGTTTAGTTAAAAATCAACCACAGCAATTCCAGATTAACTCAAGCCCAACCAAAAGGAGTGTGAAATGACATGACTGATTCTGCTTACACTGGGGAGGGTGGAAGGCCTGAGTGTGGCCAGAACTGCTTTGACCTTCTGACCCTCTGAATCCTGCCCTTCAATCTCCACAACGTTCAGCTCATCTTTTGTTGCGGGATCGACACAGGCCTGCAGGAACAGGAACAAATGCCTTAAGTATGACATTTAAATGTTAATAAAACTTTGAGGACCATTTAAAAGAAGCCCAGAGAGGTCTGACAGCAAACGTAACATACCATTCTGACTGATAACTGATGATCAAAATCATCATCCTCTGGGTTAAAACTGACATCCTTGCCTGCCTTGAGTTCACAACCTGTAAAAACAAACAAAAAGTTTGTTTAAAATAAAAAAAGGCATCAATACATCTTTTGTATTGGGTAGTGTAACTAACTTCAGAGAACCAGTACTTTTGATAAACTCAAAACCAATTCAGTGATTCATTTCAGTCGACACGTGGTCCATGACGCACGCTTCTTGGTTTAATGAGCCAGTGAATCGCTAGGTCTGATAAAACTCGATTGGTGAAAATCATTCCGCACGTACGTTTTGAGAACGGATTCGTTGATGGTCTAAATCCAAAGAATATCAAAATGATTTCTAGCCGTCATTTCACTGCATGGCACGTTGCACCGGTTGTATTTGAGAATATTTCAAACAGGATTTTACCGCAACATAACTGACTTTAAATGTGGAAGTCCACGTGGCGAGGCTTGTGAGATGCTCCATCATGTTAAAATTTCATTTTACTAAAGACCTGACAATGCAGACAAAATGCTTAAATCGGGGCTGCGTTTCCCCAAACCATCGCACGTTTAAGTAAGTTAACGTTAGATACTAGAGATCATTCATTGGCAACGTTACCAATAGTTTAGAACTGGTGTAATTCGAGCAAATATGTTGTCAGGAAAACAAACGGAAAAAACAAGACTACATAATGAACATCCATTAACTTATTGCCTATAACGAAGAATACAACTTGAATTTTCAGTAGCAAGCGAAATTTACACACAATGCGTTGTCTCATCTAACACGTGTAACGTTAGTAGAGTGACGCCATTTTGGAGCCCCAAGGCCAGTCCACGTGTTTAAGAGAGCGCGTGCAGGGAGACATCAGCTGTGCTGTGAGGGTTCCGTTTTCGTTGCTTTAATGCATTTAATTCAGAAGATTATTTCGAATTTGATCATAAAAGCTGTCAGGGTTAACTGCTGACTAACCTTATGAAATCATAATCTTATGCTAATCGATTAGGCTAGCTAAGTTAGCCAATTCATGCTGCACACGTGCTTTAGTTTGTCACTCCAAATCGAGGGATTTAAGCAATATAATACGCTGTAGTTACAGCAGTTAAAACACCAACCTGTGCTTTTAAGCAATTTTGAGTCTGATAATATAACTTGGGTTAGCTGACAAGCTACCACACTACGCCATCTTCAGTTTTCTTAACTTAAAAATGCACATTGTCACGTTTACGTACTATACGTGTGATCTAATAGACTATGACACAGAACGGATCAAGGTAAGTATTACATACCGTATAAGAAGGTTTGGGGACCCATTTGTTCGAGATCCATCTCTGTAGGTTATGTGTGTCTGTACTAGGCTGAACTGTGTCGCGACTCGAACTCCAGTGCGGGATGGACACACTAACCCACATTGAGTAAACCACGCCCATTATGGGACGGTCCTCCAGTCCAGCCAATCAATGAACTCCATAGACAGAGACTCATAGGGTATGATTTATATGTAGGCAACTGTAGACAGAGCATGAGATTTATCCAAGTGAAAGATTTAAATGTAATATATTACACTCTCGAACTCTGTGCATTGGAAAAAGAATGCACATTTAGTTTACTTTTTGTTTCAATTAAAATTTGCCAAAGCCTTGGAATTTATTTATTTATTATTATATATTTTTTGGAGGTGTGATGATTAGAATTGGATGTGATATTACCACGTAACAGATTAATACCAAATTATGTAGTTTGATATAGGACACATTTATTTACTTAGTTATTTTTAATTAACAAGGCAATTTATTTTGCTATCCTTTATTACACACTAATATTTATCCTTAATTCACTGCCGTTCATAACACATTTTTGTTGGGTCACAACCCACCAGTTGAGAACTGTTGATCTATTCTGTTCTCCATTTCATAAAATATCAAATTCACAGTGAAACACTTTAATAAACAACATAGTTGATTAACATTAAACATTTAATGATTTTGAGACGTCATAATAAAGTTTTTTAAAAAATAATAATTATAATGATGCACTATAAATGGATGTCATTCATGCTTTCCAGCACTTACATAAAAAATAATAATAATAACCCAACAGACTGAACCCAGCATTTAAGTTTGAAAAATAAACCCAACCTTTTTAAGAGTATAATAAAAAAAACACAGCTGAATATTATTCCACAAACATTTTAATCAGTTTTGACTGAGATTTGAATTGCACAGCATATGTCTGATATTTAGTTTTCACAGTTTGTATTCTCCTCACTGGACATTTCCTCATGTGGCACCATACTTGCCATTATATACAGCTTATATTTCTTACGACTCACCCTGACCACTCGACTTCTATATATATTCTAAATATTCCCCCCCCCCCCTTTATTTTATATAAGTAATCTGGGTTTTTGTTGTTTTGTCCTTCTTGAAGGTATTAGAGTATCCAGGGCCTAGATTGTCAGTCTCTTACTCCTCACAGAGTTAACACTTAACTTCTGTCCCACCTTATTCACTATGATCTGGTATGGCTTGACAAGTACTGAGACAGATAGACATAAGCAGACGGACTGGAAACAGCAATTATTAACAAACAACTCTGACAACACAAGACACGGAAATCAACATCCAATTGAGTATTCCTCAAACCCCATAAAACATAAATAGATATTTTGAAGGCCAAGATTATTTCAAGCAACTCATAGGGAACACATCTGCTGGTTTTTATCATGCAAGCTCTTTTGGCAAGAAAGCAAGCAAAAGAGGCTGTATTTGCAGTCCCAGTACACCAAGAGTCCTGAGCTCTAGGGTCAAGCAAACGAAAAAAAAAGTTTGAGACTGGCGTTCGTTTTCACAGGAAGAAGGGTGTTGATCATCGCACAATGCTTTTCAAACATGTAGTCTTCTGTGGCTGGATCAAGGTGGATTCTGGGCTGATATAGTTTCCCAAAACACCAGCAAAAGACAACATTAAATATGTTATAAGGTTTGAAAAGAGAGAGAAAAAACGAACCCTAAAGACTCGCAGATTCCCTCAGGCCATTATATTCCCCCAGAACTCAGTCCAGTGAAATATAACACATTTAAATATAAAATCCCCATCTTGCTTTCTTTTCCCCACTCTCTGTTTTGTTCTTTTCTTCTTCTGGTTGATCTTTTCTACATCACATTTTCAAAGAGCTGCATGGATCTCATCATATTTTCATCCTGGTGAGAAAAAGAGAAACTTTTAGATGTAGTTCACCTGTTTGACCACACCGAGGCACCATACTCTTTTCAGTTAAACTGGATCACATTGCATGAACATTGCAGAGGATTTACATGTGGCTTTTCACGTGAATTTTTTGCTTTACTTTCATAGTATTTTTTTTTTCTAGCATCAATGGGGTAGGCCTACATCAACTCACTGACTGGTTACCGACATTCTTCAAAATATCTTATTTTGTGTTCAGCAGAAGAATGAAATTCATACTTTTTGAATTTTGAAACAACTTGAGGGTGAGTAGGTTAAATGAGTTTCATTTTCAGAATTGTCATCTTTAAGTGAACTATTTCTTTAAGCCATGAATAATTCGTATGGTTCTGAATTCACCTTAAGACTAAGGCAAATGTAAAACAGCTGAAATCACTTAGCATGTAATGTGAACATACCTCCTGACAGGCAATGACAAACTCCTCCAATGTTACAACTCCATCTTTGTTTTTGTCCATTTTCTGTAGGAGAGAGATCATTTATTTAAGTTGCTCTGTCATTTTTGCTGTAAAAATCAAGCACAGGGATGGGTAAATATCACTATTCATAATGTACAGTTAACCGCAAAATTGAAAGAAAGGAATGTATCAATTATTAATTAGGAAATTAAGTCTATATGTATTTTGAACCATGCACATTTTAGTATCTAGTAAGATTAATCTGAGTATGGAGTTAAAAAAAAGAGCCTTTATGTTGCTAAAATATGCTTGTATGTGTGTATAGTAGTGGCTAAAAGTGATGTCATGAGGGGATATTTGATTTTAATGTTAGATTAAATTAAACCATCAAAATATGAAGAAAATATTTTAGATTTAAAAATAATAACATATATTTTAAATATGAGGGACGAACAAAACGCTAAACTTAAGGTATTTGGCAAAAAAGGCAAACTACATGCTACATGTTTTATTTTATTATGCAAAACATTGCATAGAAAAACAAAAAGACCACAGAAAAAAAAGTAATTGACTACAACATAATCCGTTATACATTTTTGTTGGTTCTTTCTTGTTTTTGCATATGTAAAAAAAAAAAAATGATTATGACAGCTTGGCCAGAAATTATGTCTGCACAATTTGGCATGTTTCATCACAAAGCAAACAATTGACTCCAAGCACAATTACACAATATGCTTAAACAAATTTAATAGTATATTTGAATAAAGAGTGAAGATGTCAATTTTCCTAGGCCGGACATCAGTTTTGGCCAGATACATTTTTTTCCCATTTTGTTTTAAAATATGACCTGCATGTTTAAATATTCACCAAATAATGACTTATTACTGACCTCAAAGAAGGTATCCACATGCTGCTTCGGTACATCCCCTTTTAAAGCTGGATACGTGTACTTCCCCATCATGTCATAGATGGCCCTCACTATCTCCGTCATTTCCTGTGAGGTACATGAACATTGAGTTAGTTACTGAATTATGATAATTATTATTATAGTTAATACATTATTATAATTGCCTTTTTAATTATGACATACCTCCCTATTTATAAATCCATCTCTGTTAATGTCATATAGATGAAATGTCCATTCTAGTTTATCTCGGACGGTCCCCCGCAGCAGAGTAGAAAGTCCCATCACAAAGTCCTGAGAGAGAGCGAGAAAATAAATCCTGTGTGCAATGTCACATAAATATTATGTTCATATCTTATGCTCATATCTCATCTCATATCTTCATACCTCAAACTTTATGGATCCATTATTTCTGCTGTCGAACGCATTGAAGAGATAATGTGCATACGTGCTGGCATCTGGAACAGCGGTGACAACAGATGAAAACATTAGACATTTAAGATTCCCTGAAATGTATCGTAAGAAGCATGTAAGGATTTTACATCAAGTACCTCCATGTGGAAAAAACTGTGCATAAATGTGTTTAAATGTCTCTTCATTCACCACTCCACTTGGACACTCCTGAAGGTGGAAAAACACTTCATATTATTGGCTTGAGACTGATTCCTGCATATGCAAATTGGATATGATAACTTGAGCTCTGCAGACTTTTTTGTTAAAGGAGTAGTTCACTTTTAAAAAAACTTTTGCTGATAATTTACACACCCCCATGTCATCCAAGATGTCCATGTCTTTCTTTCTTCAATCGAAAAGAAATTAAGGTTTTTGATGAAAACATTCCAGGATTTTTCTCCATATAATGCACTTTACTGGGCACCAAACGGTCCAAGGTCCAAAAGACAGTTTCAGTGCAAACTGCAAACTGTTCAAAGGGCTTTAAACGATTCCAGACGATGAATAAGGGTCTTATCAAGCGAAACGATCGGTCATTTAAAAAATAAATAACAAAGTTTAAGTTTTATAAGCTCAAATGCCCGCCTTGCTCTGTTCTGTGATGCACGTTCGTGACTCTCCTGTTCGAACTCGTTCATCAAAATGAACAAATCTTTTTTCGAGTCATTTGATCCATTTAACGACCGAAATGAACGAATTGACTCGGAAAAAGATTTGTTCATTTTGATGAACGAGTTCGAACAGGAGAGTTACACAGAACAGAGCAAGGCGAGCATGTGAGCTTATAAAACTTAAACGTTGTTATTTTTTTTTTAAATGAGCGATCGTTTCGCTTGATAAGACCCTTATTCATCGTCTGGTGTCATTTAAAACCATTTGAACAGTTTGCAGTTTGCACTGAAACTGTCATTTGGACCTTGAACCGTTTGGTGCCCAGTAAAGTGCATTATATGGAGAAAAATCCTGGAATGTTTTCATCAAAAACCTTAATTTCTTTTCGACTGAAGAAAGAAAGACATGGACATCTTGGATGACATGGGGGTGAGTAAATTATCAGCAAAAGTTTTTTTAAAAGTGAACTAATCCTTTAATATATCATATAATTTTAAAAATGGGTTACACTTCATTTTAAGGTCGACGTATTACAGTGTAATTATACATTAAGTACTGAATAATAATAATGAACTGTAGCTACTTAATATTGGGTTATGATTAGGGTTAGTTGCATATAATAATTTATAGTAATAATTACTAAGTAATTATTAAATACAATTATAATTAAATACAAGTAATGTGTAACAAGGACACAAAGTGCTCAAACAATTAGGTTGATGAGATGTACAAATAGTAGATGCACTGCCATAGAGAACTACGCTGTATATTTGGTAAAGCTTGTTTTAACGCAACAAATATGAGCTGCTGTGTGGGTGTTTTGCTGACTGTTTATGTGTGTGTCTACAGCGTGTGAAGGTTGGTATTGAAATATGACTAGCTGACTGTTGCTTTAGGCTAGCGCACAGTGATTAGTGACACGCTGGATAATGCAAAGAGGAACAATAAGAGTTTACAGAGTTTTAAAGACAGATGAGACGTGGCAAACAGGACCACAGGGAAAGTATATGCAGATGAGATGCGATGATTCATAAGAGAAGATATTGAGGCGTAAGGATGTATTACATAAACACTATAAGCTTGTGAAAACGCGTCAAAAGAAATTTGTGAAAAGTAAATGTGCTGATGTGGGATTGAAGGAGAAATGCTGGGGAACATACATTTTTGAAGCCTCTGTAAAGGACTTGTAGCTCTTGCTTGGTGAAGTTGGTCTGCGCCTCGAGCTGCTCGAGACCCTCCGGCCGATGGCTGACCATTGTCATCTCCAATTCATCATCCACCTTATCTAGAGAGAGAACATATTTTAGCGCCTTCAAATAGATTGAATGTATACTCTACACCCTTGCCTCATTTAGTATACGCTGTTCTATGAATATGCAAATTAGCCCCGCCTCCACTCACTCGCACCAACTCAGAGATCCACTCGTTCACGTGATTGGTTTGGATCTCATATGGAAATCTCATACTTGTAAATAATGTAAATAATTTGATAATAATTCATATTATTATATAATTTTTATTATATTTTCCAGGAAGTGATGATTTTGTTCTCCTGAACACATGGAATGGAAACTGTGCTTTATTTGCAAATGTTTTTGCGGTACTCAAATTGTTCACATAAGTTAAATTTGTAACTTTGGATGGAAACATGGCTAATGAGAGATCTGAAGCCAGAAGATAGAAAAGCAAGAAAAAAACAAGAAAACAAAACAAAAACAAGCATAAACATCAGTACAGGAACAAAAGTTGAAAAGATTTGATGATGGAGAAAATCCTGAGCAGTGATGCCCAAGTTGCTTATTTTCGAACTTACAAGTATCAGCGATTTACTTAAAACTCAGAGACGATCATGCTGATTTATGTCAATCTAAAGTTGTAAACACATTCGCGAAATTTCGCAGGCAACAAAGTTCTGTTGTTTGCATAGTGATGTATCCAGCATTGCTTACACAGAAGTCAGTTTTGTTGGTCGATGTAGCGGATCTGGTGACGAAACTGAACCCGTTGCAAAATCTGCATGGGGAATCTTTCTCCCTCACACAAATTTCCCAGTGGTAAATGTGAAATAACACCATTGTGGTATCAGTACTTAAAAAAGAACAGAGATGCAAACACTAGTTAACAACAACAATATTTAGATTAAACTAAAAATTAATAATCTTTAGCTTGTCTAAATGATAACTTTGTTTCTTCTCAAAGGGGTCATATAATGGTACATGCACTTTTGCAAGTTGATTGTACTGAAATTTGTGTTGGCAGTGCCTGTACACAACCATCATATAATGATAAAAATCCATCCAGTGGTTTTGTTTTAATCTCCTTATATGTTTTCCCCTGCCTCAAATTGAGCCGTTCGTTTTTGTGACGTCAATAAAACGGACGCCCCTCCCACGATTGTTGATTGACAGGAGTCAGCACAGGAGTTTCAACACAGACCCGCCCTCGCTCGTCCTGTCAATCATAGTCTGCGCGGATCGGCGCGGTCATTGTTGATATGCTGGAGCACTGTCTATGAGCAGAATGGCGTCTAAGCGATTGTGGTGTTCTGTTCTTGGGTGTAATAACGAACACAGCAGTCATTTTAATGTTCCTAAATCCGAACCGCTGAAGACGCAGTGGCTGAGTTTGTTTTCGAAGGGAATATTCCCCACGAGCAACGTCAATGCTCTCATGTTTGCGAGAATCATTTCTCACCAGACTGCTTTATAAACGAGGGTCAATATAAAGCTGTTTTTGCTGAGAAGCTGCACCTGAATAAAGGATCGGAACCTATTCGTCTTCCTGCTGAACCTTCAGAAGAACTAAAGTGAGTGTAACGTTTTATTAATCTTTATATTAATATTTATATAATCTTTGCAAATCGCCAGCTGCACGCTTCACGATGAATGCGTCGGTTTACACTCAGGGTACATTACAGCATGTTTTCTATGTACAATGTTCTCAATATAATTCATAATCCCACGTTTATAATGAACAACGCGTGGTTATTGTGTTATTGTGTTACAAACGGTGTATGCGCAGAACAGAGAGGCGGGGAGAGCAAAGCTCATGATCATTTAAAGTCATATGCACTGAAACGGCGTGCTGAAAACAGAGCTGTTTTTGACCAGGTAAAATAAGTGTTTTCTTACAATACTAATGAGAATTTTTAATTAAAGTATATTACAAACTTTTAATTTAGACCCTAAAGAATCATATTAGCTTGTACAAAAATGGCATTATATGACCCCTTCAATGCATTTGGTGAGATTACGAAAGCATCGTGGGATTGTTGTGGAGTCTATAGGAACACGATCACTGCGTCCAAAATCGCCTGCTGTATACTACATTTGGTTTGAAACTTACTTCACAGTCATTAAAGGGATACTCCACTTTTTTGGAAATAGGCTCATTTTAAAACTCCCCCAGAGTTAAACTGTTGAGTTTTACCGTTTTTTACCATTAGCATTTCTAAAAAAAAAAATGACCAAAGAGTTTCGATAAATATATCGAAACTCTTTAGTAATTTTTTTTTTAGAAATGCTAATGATCTTGTCCACTTCAATGATGTATGCTAAGCTATGCTAAAAGTGGTACCGCCAAAACCGGAGATCGGCTGAATGGATTCAAAAACGGTAAAACTCCGGGGAGTTTAATGAGCCTATTTCCAAAAAAAAGTGGAGTATCCCTTTAAAAAGGTATGTTCTATATAGTATAATGTACTGTGAATGAAATGTTGGCATTGTCATGTGACCTACAGTGTCAGTTGCAATGCTTCACAGTCATTCACAACTCCTCTCCCATGGCCTCATGGGATAGTAAAGGGTCCATCGAATGCACACTTCAGAATCTCACCAAATCCGGGTACTTTTCAAATATTGAGACATAGCCAAGCCTACTTCTACTGTTTTTCAGTAGGGAAGTATTCATTTTTCGATGCAGCGGCTGTTTCCCTTCGCAAAAACAGATGTGCTCGCAGGGCAAACGAACCCACACACCTCCATTTCTTTTTGGTAAAGAAACTCAGATGACTCAGGTGTTTCAAGATACTCACACACACACACACACACACACACACACACACACACACACACACACACACACACACACACACACACACACACACACACACACACACACACACACACACACACACACACACACACACACACACACACACACGGGCCCCCTGCAGGCCCTGTGTCATCTCTGGAGAAGTGATTGTGGGTAGAGAGGCAGATGGGGTGATGGGGGAAATCAGTAGAACGAATGAAAATGGCCATGGGTAGCTTGGGGGAAGACCTTCATCTTTCACAGAACACTGGAGAGCCATTGAATCTCGTTTAATGCCCCAGCCCTTTATAAATCCTCTCTCTGGTTTTCACACACACACACACACACACACACACACACACACACACACACACACACACACACACACACACACACACACACACACACACACACACACACACACACACACACACACATTTTAACCTCCAGTATGCCCTCAAACTCAAACACATAAAGATGTGCATTTATATACCCACAAAGTGTTGTTGCTTACATATAGGTAAAGGTTTGTAGTATTTGGGATGTTAAATTACTCTCTTTGTTTGAGTTTGTTAAATGGATCGTTAAATGTGCAGAGGGATCAATAAGAAATCCATTCGTAGACTGATTTCCCTGAAGTGTCTGAACATTGTGCAGCTTTCAAAAGCTCAGTTAGAAGCGATCCATCGTGTCACTTTTGCCTCAACCAATTGTGTGATTCTGGGGCGTGGGCTATGTACCTGCAATAAGATAAGAAGGAGCTGCAAATGTAAATGGTGTGTGCTTGAATTCACATCGGATATTGTGCCACTGAGTTGGTCAAAATCTAAAGTTCTCTGTTTGATAGGCTCCGAACTATTTTGAATTAAAGGTGCAGTATGTCATATTGAAAGCTAGCTAGCGGTTGAAATGGATACTGCAGTTCAAATTGTAAATACTGGAGAGTTGTTTCCCCTGCCCCCTCCTCAGACTTTGCTCATGCGGGTTGCCAGTTTGAGGACACGCAACAGCAGCGAGCGCAATAGGCTCTATGCACGATCGCTTCAGTGTTTTGTCTCAGCCCGCCCAGTTACATCCGGTGCTGCGTCGCAAACCGTTTTTGCATTAGGTGGAAATAATGGAAAATTACACTCGCTGTTTACAAGAACTTCCAGCGGTTAACGTGAGTGATGTTAACAATATTGTGAGGCAGTTAGCTGTAAGAGTAAGAAAGAGAACGGCATTAAATTATATATTTCGAGCTACATCGACAACTTTGAGGGCGAGTAATCTCTCATATCATGCGAAATCCGACTAGCGTAACAGTTTCTAAAATTGTTGTCTCGTTTCTGAGAAAATGAATTTTATTAAAGTTTGGCCGCTAGTACACTTCGCTATAGAACGCGCTATGCGGAGGTAAAGACACTGGCAGCAGCGTTAGTGCATAGAGCCTGTTGACAATGGAAGACGATGATTACACACTGTTAGCTGATGAGTCGATTTATCTTTTTAAAGGGTCATGAAACCCCCCTCTTTCAGCTCAAGTCTAGCTCACAATCTTTTTGAAAAATGCAACTTAAATGGGCGTGGATGGCTGTGAGAATGGCCATCACTGTCATCGCCAGTATCCCATGCATATCGACTGTCACTAAGCAGTAGTAAAACGTGAGGAAATGCTAGATTTTTTTATAGCTGGCAAAGTTAAAGTCTTATGAAATACGACACTTTATTATTGTCCTTTCAAAAGTAACTGAATGCCCTGCAATATTAGCCTACAGTAATCATAATTCTATTGAGAACATATTACAGTATTTCTGAATTGCTAAAACACTAAAATCCATTTGCAAAACCAAAGTCACAAGTGTACAAGCCACTTTATTGATTGAATCACACAGTTTGCAGAACTTTAAACACTTCTCATGTGGTTAGACACAACTAGCAAATCGGAATCACTCTTTGTGCAAAACTGTAAACACATTGTCATTCACAAAGCACATGTAGCATTGTGGTGCACTTCAACTCAGAATGCACAACCCAGCCCTCAAAAGTGAAACACAAGCAACACACTGTTGTCATCGGTAACACACAGGCACTCAAAATTGAACACATCTGTTTCAAATCAGTAATGGATATATCTGGATATAAAGCCATGTCAAATCCAAATGGCATGTGTGATTTTCACAATGGAGGGCATGAGAGAAGGAGGAAGTGGAAGTGGAAGAGGAGGAGGAGGAAGAGACAGAGGAGGTAGAGACAGAGGAGGAAGAGATGGAG